ACGATCACCATCATCAGACGGTCTTCAACTCTGGTGCCAACTCAACTTCTACTGCAGGTAAGTATTCAGAAGATGACAATTCAGAGACTTCACGACAATGCCAAGTACAGAATCTCAAACGATGTACAGTCTTGTAACGGTAACCATCGTCAGCGACACGAGTTTCAACGCCCTCTGGTGGTATATATTCAGCGCTTGGCTCGGCTACTGGTGGCAAATATTCAACGGAAGGAGCCTCACGACGATGACGGTGTACCTTGAAACGTCTGACAGTTTTGTATTTATAAACATGTTTCGCTACACGAGTCTCAGTGCCCTCTGGTGGCATATAATCGGAGGAGGTTTCTGCTACTGGTTGTAGGTATTCCTCTGATGGTACCTCACGATGATAACGGCACTTAAGACGACGCACAGCCTCATCACCGACTGGTGGCAAATACTCGGCGGATGGCTCGACACCGTCAGCAGGAATACAGGCATACAGCGAATGTCACCACAAAGAGTTTCTGCAAAAATTATACATATTTTTTTTAACTTCCCGCTAAGAAAATTGAAAATTTTCTAAAAATCGGGAAGTTATTGGTTTCCCCCCATTTTGCGAAAATCGAGTTCTCAACAGATCTCGACGTTCTGAGGGTCGAGGAAGCTTCCCGAACATTAGTGTGTGTGTGGATGTATGTAAACCTCTTATATCTTTTAAACGGCTCAACCGATTTGTAAGAAATTACAATAGAATATTGAATAATTGAGAAAAACAAGAAGAATTGTGAGAGAAGCTGCGACCATAACCATAAAAAATACTCTTTATATGAAATATTTATACAACAGGAACCAGGAAAATCATAACAAAATAGGAGCGTCGATAATGTCAGCCGCTTGAAGTGTTCTTCGAGTAGCTATGTTAAGTACACGAACAAATTATGGACTTAATTTTTTACATTTTCGAATGTAATGTCGAGATAGGTACTTAAGCAAAGTATATAAATTTACTTTAAGAGCAATTTCATTTTAATATTTACAATGTATGGAAATTCGAAAATATTCGCTTGACTCCTGAGATTAAAGTAATCTGTACATTAAACGCATTTTCTTCAATTATTATTGCGTCACGAATTATTTCTGCTTTTCCCTTATACCGGGCACTTAAAGTTCTCTACAAAGTATACGTATCTTATATCGTCAATAATTATTACAGTTTATGTGTAGACCAAACATTTTTGTTTGTGGTAAAAGCTTAGAAGCTTAGAAATAACACACATTTCTCAACTGCGATTTAAAAGAGCTCCTGAAAAGTAAGCTTAGGTAATAAAAAAGTAGTTGCAAATTCATTACATACGTATCTCGAATACCAGCTATCTACATCAAATTCATTTTAAGAACTTTTTGATGTTTTTGTCAGTCACAGTTTTCGACGTCCACTTGGTCGGAATTCATATCACCTTAATAGAATTCACCACTTAGGAATATCTCATTAATTGAATTTCTTAAATTGAAAGTAAAGCTACTAAAAAATGAATTCACTTAATTTTAAATTAAAATTCCTACTAAATGTATAGATTTCCTTCTGACCCCGAGCGAGAGTATTTTCAAACGCTTTGTTCAACGATTTTTTCTGAAGAAAGACGAAAGTTTGAATAATTTCCATCCAATAATTTAAGAAGTAGGTAGTTATTTTTCATCGTTATGCTCTATTTGAGCTTTTTTAAAATATATATATATATTTTTTTTTTGTGGAAAGAAAATTGAAACAAACAAGTAAGGAAGGGTGAAACCGAACATTGCATACTCTTGAAACTAGCGTTACGTATTACGCATATGGGAGATAGGGGTAGTATTGACCTGATTTTATCTATTTTTAGCTTACAGCCGGAAACTCGAAAATTTGTCTATTAGGTATATGAGGACTAAGGGAATTATTGATTCGATTCAATCCATTTTCGATATACAGGCATAATATTATCAGGACAGAATTCTATAATATATCTCAGAGATTGACCGATTTTTCGATAAATGTTCTCAATAGGAACTGGGGTCCATATATTCGGTACCTAGGGACTTAAATGTTTTTCGTTTGATTTGGACAATTTTTCGTCAGAAGATGGCACACTTTAAAGGCACTATTCGTGCAAAGTTTCACTGCTTCTTGATTTGTATACTGGAAAGTGAAAGAATCATATGGAATTTAAAATTGTGATATATGGGGTGTAGGCATGGTTGTAGTCCGATTTTCATGCTGTCAATATAATGTTAAAAATGTCAATATAATGTTGCCTGCCGAATTTGGTTGAAATTGGGCTAGTAGGTCTCGAGATATGAGTTTTCACATAAATGTTGGTGGTGCTACGCCCTTCATCCAATTTTAACAGCGGCGCCTATAAAGCATTCTTCTATTTTCCGGTATAAAATTTTATTTCTCTGATGCATTTATTTATAGATTTATCGGACTTTTAGTATTTTTTAACACAACTGTTATGTGGGGAGTGGGCGGGGTTATCATCCGATTTCACCTATTTTCACACTGTCGGTAGGGGTGCGAAAAGGGGTATAGCTGTCCGTACAGGCGATGTCGAGCTCGAGATATTCAATATATATATTCTTCCAGTTACATGTTGCCCAACAGGATATTACCCGAACATAGGTGCGCTACTTCGGGGTGAAAATCGTTTGGTGCTAGGCGACTTTAACGCGCATCACGATCCTTGGCACTCCTGCCTGTCAAACGATCGTAGGGGGATGGAGCTGACGGAACAGATTGACGATTCGACATTCTGCACAATGAATGACGAAGCCCCCACCAGAATTATCGGCACCTGTAACAGCTCACTAGATATTACTAGCGGGGGTCTGATAAATAGTATAACATGGCGACCTATGCTAACTCTCGCATCAGACCATCTGCCCATAATTATCTCGATCGAGAAACCTCCCGACTTTATTTTTGTGGACAATCGCACCTTTGTTAACTTTAATAAAGCTAACTGGGTCGGCTGCACAGAATTTACTGAGAGTACCTTCAACGCAGTACCCATTCTTATGGACGTCATCGTTGGCGAGCATCAATTCCGCAAGGTAATCGCTGCTGCTACCGCTCGCTTCATACCGGCTGGTAGAATCGCGTAACTCCGCCCAAATTTCCCAGTCGAAGCAGCTGTACTAGCAAATGAGCTCGACATCTTAAGCCATGCCGATCCCTGTGATCCCCGAATAAGAGATCTCAATTTGGAGATTCGGCAAATGGTAAATCATCATAAGCGGACAAAATTAATAGATCACCTGAAGTCCTGCAACCTCTTCACCGGTGTAAGCAAGCTTTGGACAACTGTCAAGGCCTTGACAAATCCGAAGAAACATGACGATCGGGTTGAAATTCAATTCGATGGCCATGCCTCCTCGCACCCGAAGAAGTGCGCGAGCTATTTTACCCGGCAGTTTATGCAGCACCCTTCGACCGACAAGGCCAAACGATGTGTTACCCGGCGGCTGAAAGACTGCGCACCACTTCCTTTTACCAATGGGGAGGTTCAGAGTGCCATCACAAAGGCCAAATCGTCTAAATCCTTGGTCCTGATGCTTATTCCATGCTTATGCTAAAACATCAACGGGAGTAAGCTACCTCACCAAAGTCCTCAACTTGTCGATGACCCCTCTTCAAATATCCGATATGTGGAATGTCGGAAGCGTGGTCCCACTACTGACACCTGGGAAACCCGCCAACAAAGATAAGTCGTCCGATAACTCTCCTTTCCCCAGTAGTGAAGACACTTGAGGCTTTGCTACTCACGACATTCACTCACCACCTGAGTCTAGCAGAACATCAGCATGGCTTCCGAAAAGTGCACAGCACCACCACAGCACTTAGCGTCATAAACGCCCAGATATTGCCTTAAATAATAATCCATGCCAAATTTTCTGAAGATATCTCGTTAAATTAACGACTTTTCCATACAAGCACTTGATCCGATCATTCAGTTTGTATGGCAGCTATATGGTATAGTGATCTGATCAAAAATTTTTTTTCGGAGATTACATTGTTGCCTTAGAAAATTTCGTGAAGATATTACGTCAATTAAAAAAGTTTCCCATACAAGCACTTGTTTCCGATTGTTCAGTTTGTATGGCAGCTTTATGCTATAGTGGTCCGATATCGCCTGTTCCGACAAATGAGCAGCTTCTTTGTTAGAAAAGGACAGGTGCAAAATTTCAGATCGATAGCATAAAAACTGAAGGACTAGTTTGTATATATACAGACAGACGGACAGACAGACAGACGGACATGGCTAAATCAACTCAGCTCATCATGCTGTTCATTTATGTATATATTTTATAGGGTCTCCGACGTTTTCTTCCGGGTGTTACAAACTTCGTGGCAAACTTAATATACCCTGTTCAGGGTATAATTAAAACAAAACAAATGTTAACTTCGGTTGCACGAGGCTACAATACCCTTCACAAATACCAAATCTGGTAAAGACATCTGTCAAAATGAAAAAGCTTCCATTCAAACACTTGATTCCGATCAATTAGCAGCTTCTTAGGCAGCCCGCCCTCGCATAAGGGATTAGCCAATGTATGTTTTGTGTTCTCTGAACACTCAGCAGAGCATAAATGGACGGAGGGGAAAACACTTATATAAATAGGTACACAAAAAAAATATCATCAATATCAAATAATCCTTAAGTTCGGCAAAGTTGTGCGAAATTTGTATATATTATTTTTTTATATTATACAATAAAGGCTTATTCCTATCACTCAAATGAATTTTGTCCATATTTTTTAGTGCAATTACCCACTGCAGACTATATCGTCATCTCGGATTTTAAACGCGATTTTTGAAAAATTTAAACTTTTACCACTTTTCAAACGCACTAGATTATATTGAAACATTGTGTAAAAATCGTTTCTAATATACGTTCGTCCTTTCGACATCAAATATATAATACAATCATTTTTCAAACCTTTCTTATAAAGTAGTAAATACGAAAGTGAAAAGTCATAAAGAATTTAATTTGAATAAATTTTATTATTCTTGCATTTATTTCTTAATATAACAAACTAATCGTAAAGCGCCATCAGCACACGTGGGACTATTTCGTTTTAAAATTCCATATCTCATATTTACACATCATATATTCGCAATCACAACCATTTACTTGAAACCTATCATTTAACATGCGAGTTCATTACGTTTTTAAAATCTACTGACGGTTACGGTACTTCAAGCGACGCATTGTTTTATAACGGTAACCATCCTGATCCAATTCAGCGCTCTTCACCACGGGTACCTCAGCATTATCATTACTAGGTGGCAAGTATTCACCATTGGGGGCATCAACGTTTTCAGCGGCGGCAACTTCTTCAACAGCTTCAGCTTCACGACGATGACGACGGTACTTCAAACGTCGAAAATTCTTATAACGATAACCATCATCGCTCAAAACGGTCTTCAACTCTGGTGCCAACTCAACTTCTAATGGAGGTAAGTATTCAGAAGATGGTAATTCAGAGATATCACGACGGTGACGAGTACGGAATCTCAAACGACGTACAGTTTTATAACGGTAACCATCGTCAGCAACACGAGTTTCAGCGCCCTCTGGTGGTATATATTCAGCGCTGGGCTCGGCTACTGGTGGCAAATATTCAACGGAAGGAGCCTCACGACGATGACGGTGTACCTTGAAACGTCTGACAGTTTTGTATTTATAACCATCTTTCGCTACACGAGACTCAGCGCTCTCTGGTGGTATATATTCGGAGGAGGGTTCAAATACTGGTGAAAGGTATTCCTCTGATAGTACCCCACGACGATGACGGTATTTCAGATGACGCACAGCTTTATAACGGTAACCATCGTCGGCAAGAGGTGCCGATTCATCACCGACTGGTGGCAAATACTCGGCGGATGGCTCAGCTGGTGCTGATTGGGCGATGGCATATGCAATAAGGCACGCAGCAAGTGCGACTGCGAAGAGTTTCTGTGGATTAAGGGCATTAAGATATTTTAGTGTTAAAGGACTTGAGAGCAATAGTAAATACTTGAAGCGGTGTTAAGTCGTAGCTTAGTATTAAGTGAGTGGGACAGTTTTATACTTTATACTCACCATTTTCTTATTATCCTTAAGTACCTACAATATATCCTGTCAAGTTATAATTTGTTTATTTTCTTGTTCCGGGTTTGTGAACGTAACACTCTGCAGTTGGTTAACTCAATGATATCACTATCGAGATATTTAGAATATTTATAGTTGGCTAGATGATTGAAATCGAGTCTGAAAATATTTAGGTTGCCAACTCATGTCATATACTTCAATAGAAATTAGGTACTGAAGTAATTCATAAATTTATAAGCAAAAAAGCTGAATAAAACAATAAGCAGAGCTACATTCCGGGTACATCTGTGTGCTCATCTGAATCTGGTTTGGGCAAATAGAAACGCTGAGAATGGTATATGTAGTCACATTATGGCAACAACAATGAGGCTTTCAAATTAAATTTATCTATTTTCAACTCCTCCACGAAAATTTCTTAATTTATTACCGTTTTAAGGGGCACTTGTGCAAATTTAATAGCATTATTAATTATTAAGCACAGTTTTTCGAACCGGTTTTTCAAGTAGCCCATAGTTCAGCGTTGCCCACCTACGTATGTATAATACATACTCGTAAGTAGCAATCACAACAGCGCTATTCATTTGGACCGCTGGCTCTGTACTGTAGTTGGCTACTGTTCACCTGATGCCATTTAGGACATCAAATTGATCGATCTGAATTTTACAATTACGGTTTAATGCTTCACGAATAAACATACGAAATATTTGCTGACGAAAATAAAGCTAAACTGCTGAGCGATTAAGCATTAAGGCAGAAAAATTACTCGGACAAAATGCTAAATCATGTTATCAGCATATTTGCTTTGAACTCATCTCTACAATCGTAACAAACATAAGTGCTAAGGCAAATTCTATGTAAAGCTTCGTGATGATTTGGCTTATCGAGAACTATATTATTGAGTTACGGTTTTCATAATGAAATAAATTAGCAGAAGGAAAACAAAGCGACCGCGATCTCAAAGCTCTTAAGTGGCATTGTATTACGTAATTTATATTTCAATAAAGAGTAGAGCATAGGAAACGTAGTCAGCGAAGAATAATTACTTCGATTTTGCTAACCTGACCTTGGCTGTAGTGTATTGCTCGCAAAGGCATACACTTCTACAGCCGCCGTCTATTCTTTGCATATATATTGTAAAATTACAATTACAATAAAATTTCTATAGCTTAAACTTTAATTAGAAACATTTTTATGTACATTAGAAGCTACTTCACTTTTTGGATATCTAATTACGCAAATGGAATCCAAATTAGTATTGCCAACTACCTACTTGGTTGAAAGAGGAGGTCGAAAGAATGCCTGATCGCAAGCGACCGCCCTGAAGTAATAATTAAGCTCATAGTGATTCCAAGTTAGTCGCAATTCGTTGAATCTAAAACCATACTATTACTATCAGGTTTCAAAAATAAAATAGCATATACCGACATTTTCGTAGCCAAAATTATAAACAAATCGAATCATCATTTTCATTATCAAGATCTACCACATTATTTTAGATATTATTTTAAGTGATTCCAAGAGAAGCGCTACTCGCGGAACCTAAAATTCTAATATTACTACAGTATCCCAAGATAATTGCACTTCAAAAATTGCAAAAATTTATGGTTCAATTAATCGGGTAATCAATTCACTAATACTCGTTTAATTGAACAATTCATTCAATTATAAGAATCCCGCTTAATTGGACAACCTAATCAATTAAAAAATGCATATGTGCACTTTAAGTAATTATTTAGTTTTTATACTCTCGCAACTTGTTGCTACAGATTATAATAGTTTTGTTCACCTAACGGTTGTTTGTATCACCTAAAACTAATCGAGTTAGATATAGAGTTATATATATATATAATGATCAGGATGAAGAGACGAGTTGATATCCGGATGACTGTCTGTCCGTCCGTCCGTCCGTGCAAGCTGTAACTTGAGTAAAAATTTAGACATATTTATGAAACTCTGTACACAAGTTTCTGTGTACCGTAAGACTGTTGGTATTACAGATGGGCGTAATCGGACCACTGCCACGCCAACAAAACGCCATTAATCAAAAACAAATAAATTGCCATAACTAAGCTCCACAACAGGATACAAGACTCTTATTTGGTACACAGGATCACATTAGGAAGAGGCATATGCAGTTTAATTTTATTTTTTTTAAGTGGGCGTGGTCCCGCCCCCTAATAGGTTTAATGTACAGATCTCCTAAACCGCTAAAACTATAATAACAAAATTCACCGAAAACGAACGTTTTTAGCACCTCTATCGACAGTGTGAAAATGGGTGGAATCTGGTTACAACCTCGCCCACTCCCCTTATAACGGTACCGTTAACAACTACTAAAAGCGCAATAAACACACCAGATACATTAAATATTATCTCTGAGATGGCATGAGATAACTTTATAGGAACCGCGTTCAAAATTAGACAGTGGGCGTGGCAGCGCCCATTTTCAAGTGAAAACCCATATCTTGGGATCTGCTTAACCGATTTCAAACAAATTCCGTACATAACATTCTTCTCATTATCTATGTTATAGTGCGAAATCGGATTACAACCATGCCTATTTCCCATATAACACCATTTTAATTTCCATATTATTCTTTCACTTTCCACTATTCAAATCAAGCAACAATGATTGTATCTTTACGTAAATAATGCGTTTAAAGTGTGCCACCTTGTGACCAAAAATTGTCTAAATCGAACCAAAACTGTTCAAGCTCCTAGGTACTGAATATGTGGACCCCAGTGGCTATAGTTGACTTTTTACCGAAAATATCGGTCAATATGTAAGATATATAATAAAATTCATATAATAAAATAAATAAATGAAACTCTCGATAATAGTATGTTTTTGTGTCAAAAATGGGTTGAATCGGATCAATACTTCCTATAGCCCTCATATTCCTAATATAAAGATTTTTTAACTTCCGCGTGACTTTATACCGCATATATCGGCCAATATGTGAGTTATCTCAATGGAAATAAGAGAGTGTGTTTTATGTTATTTAAAATTGATCAAATTGGGAGAAAATTTTACCTAGCCCCCATGTAACTAATATCAGGATTTTCAAAATTTCGTCTGACTTTACTCCATTTTATTGGTGATGGTATGTGAGTACCTTAGTGAAACAGGTGGAGCAGTTTATTAGTCTGTGGCATGTTAGTAGTATAAGGTATTGGCAAAAATTAATCAAGTCGGGTTAATACTCCCCTTAACTTCCATATACTACTTATAATGTTCTTCGTTATTCTAACCAGTTTTATGCCGGATATGTCGGTCAGTGAGTATTAATTTTTTTATACTCTCGCAACCTGTTGCTACAGAGTATAATAGTTTTGTTCACCTAACGGTTGTTTGTATCACCTAAAATTAATCGAGTTAGATATAGGGTTATATATATATAAATGATCAGGATGAAGAGACGAGTTGAAATCCGGGTGACTGTCTGTCCGTCCGTCCGTCTGTCCGTCCGTCCGTCTGTCCGTCCGTCTGTCTGTCCGTCCGTCCGTGCAAGCTCTAACTTGAGTAAAAATTGAGATATCTTTATGAAACTTGGTAGACATGTTTCATGGTACCGTGAGACGGTTGGTATTGCAGATGGGCGTAATCGGACCACTGCCACGCCCACAAAACGCCATTAATCAAAAACAAATAACTTGCCATAACTAAGCTCCGCAATAAGATAAAAGACTGTTATTTGGTACACAGGATCACATTAGGGAGGGGCATCTGCAGTTAAAATTTGGAAGCAAATGTTTTTAGCACTTCTATTGACGGTGTAAAAATAGTTGAAATCGGGTGGCAACTCCGCCCACTCCCTATATAACGGTACTGTTAAAAACTACTAAAAGCGCGATAAATCAAGCACTAAACACGCCAGAGACATTAAATTTTATCTCTGAGATGGTATAAGATGACTTTATAAGAAACGCGTTCAAAATTAGACAGTGGGCGTGGCACAGCCCACTTTTAGGTGAAAACCCATATCTTGAGATCTGCTTAACCGATTTCAACCAAATTCGGTGCAACACGTTCTTTTCATGTTTCTATGTTATAGTGCGAAAATGGGCGAAATCGGATTACAACCACGCCTATTTTCCATATGACACCATTTTAAATACCACTTGATTCTTTCACTTTCCACTATGCAAATCAAGCAACAATAATTATATCGGCGTAAAACTTTGCGTGAATAATGCAATTAAAGTATGCCACCTTGCGGCCAAAAAGTGTCTAAATCGAACCAAAACTGTTCAAACCCCTAAGTACTAAATATGTGGACCCCAGTGCCTATAGTTGACCTTCTACCGAAAATATCAGTCAATACACAAAGAAATCTCAAACGAGTATACCATTTGACTTTGCGAGAGTATAAAATGTTCGGTTACATCCGAACTTAGCCCTTCCTTACTTGTTTTATATATAAATGTACTTTTATATGATTTCCGTTTTTCCACCTGACTTAAGACCGTTCTGGTTGATCAAAATGTAATATTGTAACGAGATTAGTGGATAGTTTTCTTAAAAATTATTTGGTTTGACGCTGAATTAGAATGAAATTAGTATACACCTTGGTCTGAACCTCACACCTTCATATGTATAATGAATTCCGATTATCTGGTTACGTTTGTGACATAAGCTTATATTATAAAATTTAGCCATTGGTCGAGTTAATATCACATGCATACTTATGTATATCGCCCTTCAAGATGTTCTTCTATATAATTTTCGCTAACGAGAACTAAAATATAGCAATAAAACTGAGACTAAGTTTATGACCTTTAATATAAGTCGAGAAGATACCAAATTTGGTTATAGTTTAATCCCGATTTCGTTTAATAATGGTTTAAGAATGGATTCTTGCTCACAATTTTTCTAATATAAGGTTTTGCCACACCTGAAGGAATTGCCAGGCCTTTGATTCTTGCGAATTGCAAGAGTATAAATTTCTCGGTTCCGCCCTAGTACCGATTATCGGGGATATATTGACCCTAGCTCCTACATATTTTATGTAAAAAATTCAAACTTCCGTTTGGCTTTATATAAACGTAGAATATTAGATATACAATAGTTTAATGCCGAAAATGTGTGAAATCGGTCCACGAATTTCCCCAGTTCACATGTACTACTTATGGTATAATTTCATAATTTAATGAAATTAAATGGACAGTTTTTCTTAAAGATAATGTGGTATATCGCTGCATATGAATGAAATTGGTCTAAACTTTTGTTTAAACCTTATAACCGTAATATACTGACTTCCACTGCTCTGGTACAACAGCAACCTCATATAATCCACATATTAAATCTAGCCCCTTTGGTTCAGTTTATATCACATAT